AAACTAACTTCTTGTTGTGTCTCGTTCACTTCTTAAATCCGTACACAAGTTTAGACTTGATCCCAGTTCGGGATTTGATTTGCAACACTTATCTTAATTATGGCTTATAATTTCTGCAAGTAGGGCACTAGTGAGCTAGCTGAGGCACAGATTCCTTCAACACAATCATTACATAGGATTTCAGGTTTGCCGCTGATTTTGGCAACAACCCAGATGGCTTTAGAGAGGATGGAAGAGTTAGTGTCAATGCCTTCAAGGTTGACGTTCGTCGACATGTTACGTTGAGGCAAAGCATTTTCAGGCTATGTCCTTTGTTGCAGGGCAGCCCCAGTCAGTCATGTCCTTCGTCGCCCGTCGGCCTCCCGCATTTGTACAACTGTACTATTCCGCGATTCCGCTGTTCAACGTCGCAAATGTTTTCCTGCACTGAGGAGAGCAACCGCCAAGGGGAGATAAGCAAAAAAAAAAACGGAAGATGGAGAAGAATCAAAATAGAAAGATATAACTTGTCTATAATCTTTCGTCAGAGAAATACTGGCTTTGAAGAAATCCAAGGCTCTCTGGAGAAGGAGACTGCTTGTTGAAAAGAAAGCCGAGAAGCGGATGCGGCAATTCGGCAGAGCTGCCAGTTTCCTCCAACCCTGATGGTTGTTGCCGGCGCGTAGCGTTGATGGTGGTCGCACCATTGGATGCGGTGGCGATGACGACGGCAGAGGAAAGATCAACGACGGAAGTCGTCCTTGTAGCCGTCATTTGTCTTCATCGCTCTCTGAAGAGAGGCGGTGTAGCGTTGACGAGGATGTAGAGAAAAGTGTTGATAACGTGTTAAACAAAAATATCAACGCAAGAAAGGAGAGGGAATAGACAGAGAAAAGCATTTCTTATTATCATCATCAATCTTTGTACAACATTACAATGGTATATATAATCTCTATCATAATAACATTTAGGACTTTTACAGCATTAGGAATCCTACGGTATTGAGAATCCTATCATCAATATAAAACCAGAATAATGTCAACATAAGATTTTACAATAATATTGAAATATCAATTTGAGCAAAATATGACAGATAAAATAAAATAAACATAGTCATTATAATAACAATTATGCAATAATCCGTGTAACAAATAATTTGGTTAATATATTATGCAATCAAGTAAGTTTGCTCCAATACAGTAATCCATGCATAACGCAATTTAATTTCTTGGGAATTGTACATTAATTTGAATATAAATTGTAGATAAGATAGCGCACTTTCAATATTCATTTCCCTAAAATTACCAAAATAGTGCAATTAAAATGTTTGCATCATATTATTTGTATAATTGTATAGATATAAATGATTTGTTATAAATTTATCTAAATATTATTATAACTTTTTTTCAAATTTAAAATGATGAGTATACAATTTATCTAATATAGTTATGATAGATTTAATTAATCCGGGGTGGCCCGAATTATTAAACCCGGATAAGAACGCAGTATGGATAATAAATAAATGATGTCGTAAAGGCCGTGAGACCGTATATTATATTAAATGCCGTAGAATTGGCTATTACAATAGTATATTAGGACAAAGTATGCAAGTAGAATAAATCGTGTCTTAATGAGACAAGGTGGGGGGTTTTTATACAACCCACACCCCTAACCGCCACCCCTTAAGGCGGGGGGTGGTTGGATCCGTGTTGACCGGGCCTCCTTGACCGGGTCTAGGTCGGCGGACGACCTCTCCGTGGCCGACCCATCGTGGACGACCTCTCCAAGCCGGGTCAACGGACTGCTGGCCGAAATCTCCAAGGGCCGAGGCTTCGTGGGCCTCGGCCTCCGAGGCCGTTTTTCGTGGATTAGCATCTCGAGGTCCTTTAATGGGCAAGGGAGGAGTCCTCGCGGGCCAAGACCCAACGGTCGAGGCCCATGAAGCCGAGGCCCCGTGGGTCGGGGCCCCGGGTCTTGCTCCGATCGTATTATATCCATCATGAGTCCCCCACTCTCTTCGTTGCGATAAGTTGTCGACGAAAGAGAGTAAACGTGTCCCGGGCCGGGCTCTTGGCGCGAGCGACCCGAGCTGGAACATAAGCTGACCAGGTCAAAAAACCAGTCCTATCGCGAAAAGACTCCTCATCTGCTAGAGATTATTCAGGATAAGATAGAATCCCTTCAAAAGTGTAACTCCTTTCCCTATATAATCTTGAAAATACACCTCTCAAATCCCCATCAAATCAAATCTTCCACCCATCACCATCAACTTTAACACTTCCCAAATCCCCATCAAATCTTCCACCCATCACAATCAACTTTCCCTCTTCCCCATACACCCCCAAAATTCAAACTTTGGTCAACACTCCCTTTTCTCCTCTCCCCTCTCCCTCTATATAAATCCCCCTCTCCCTCTTCATCCTACACTCTTCACTCCCTCTATCCTCCAAAATTCCGGCGACCTCCTCCAATTTTCCGACGACATCCTCCAATTTTTCGGCGAGTTTCCCCCGTTTTCCGGCGAGTTCGTGCACCAACATCGTCTGGCCGACCCTCCTCGCCCGAGCCGCAAGCCCGAGCACGATACGTCCTTTACTCTCGCTTTCCCTTACTTTCTGTTGTTATTTTTCCGGCATGGTTTTCCGGCATGGTAGCGGCGGTGCGGCGGCGCTTGGTCAGCCTCCGCTTCGGGTCCGTTGCCCGGTCCTCGCCCCCTTTGCACTATTATATACATTTTTTTTCGAGGGTACGTGCGTGCCCCTTCGTTATCCCTCCCATTTTGCTTCGTAGGTTTGGGTGGTGTATGTTCACTAGTTTCGGTCTTCATGTCCTAGATTCCATCGACGAGAACGAGGTCGAGATGGACAACCCCCCTTCTCCGAGTGAAGTGCTCCCCGTTGTTACTGAGGTACTCGGCTATATGATACTTTATAGAGTATGCCCACCTCCCGGAAGCAAGAGCATACTTTATGGTCTTGCCTCCGGGAGGTGGGCACACTTATGCTCTTGCTTCCAGGAGGTGGGCACACCTTATTCTCTTGCCTCTTGGAGGTGGGCATACTCTATGCTCTTGCTTCCAGGAGGTGGGCACACCTTATCCTCTTGCTTCCGGGAGGTTGGCACACCTTATGCTCTTGCATCCAGGAGGTGGGCATACTCTATGCTCTTGCCTCCGAGAGGTGGGCACACTTTATGGTCTTGCTTCCGGGAGGTGGGCACACCTTATGGTCTTGCTTCCGGGAGGTGGGCACACCTTATTTTCTTGCCTCCGGGAGGTGGGCATACTTTATGCTCTTGCTTCTGGGACATGGGCACACCTTGTGCTCTTGCTTGCGGGAGGTGGGCACACTTTATGTTCTTGCCTCCGGGAGGTGGGCGTACCTATGCTCTTGCTTCCGTGAGGTGGGCACGCCTTATGCTTGCCTCTGGGAGGAGGTCATACCTTATGCTTGCCTCCGGGAGGTGGGCACACTTGGTGTTCTTGCCTCCGGGAGGTGGGCATACCTTGTGCTTGCCTCCGGGAGGTGGGCACACTTTATGCTCCTGCCTCCGGGAGGTGGGCACACTTATGCTCTTGCTTCCGGGAGGTGGGCACACCTTATTCTCTTGCCTCCGGGAGGTGGGCATACTCTATGCTCTTGCTTCCGGGAGGTGGGCACACCTTATGCTATTGCTTCCGGGAGGTGGGCACACCTTATGCTCTTTCCTCCGGGAGGTGGGCATACTCTATGCTCTTGCCTCTGGGAGGTGGGCACACTTTATGCTCTTGCCTCCGGGAGGTGGGCACACCTTATGCTCTTGCCTCCGGGAGGTGGGCATACTCTATGCTCTTACCTCCGGGAGGTGGGCACACTTTATGCTCTTGCTTCCGGGAGGTGGGCATACTCAATGCTCTTGCTTCCGGGAGGTGGGCACACCTTATGCTCTTGCTTCCGGGAGGTGGGCACACCTTATGCTCTTGCTTCCGGGAGGTGGGCACACCTTATGCTCTTACTTCCGGGAGGTGGGCACACCTTATGCTTTTGCCTCCGAGAGGTGGGCATACCTATGCTCTTGCTTCCGGGAGGTGGGCACACTTTATGCTCTTGCCTCCGGGAGGTGGGCACACCTTATGCTCTTGCATCTGGGAGGTGGGCACACCTTATGCCCTTGCCTACGGGAGGTGGGCATACTCTATGCTCTTGCCTTCGGGAGGTGGGCATACTACCCAGGTCCACCTCGATGCACCCCGGCATGCTGCCGAGGTGGTGCCATGGTGCACCCCGGTTTTGTGCTGGGGTGCGCTAGGCCCTTTTTTTTTTTTGGCCTTGTATTAGCCTCCTTAACATAGTCCCATGAGACTACGCTACCGGGCTCTCCCGTCGGGGTTGGTACGCGAGGTCGGACCTCGTGCCCCCTTAGGGTACGTCAGCCGCTCGACCTAAGCCCTTCCGGACTGCGCTACCGGGCTCTTCCGTCGGGGTTGGTACGCGAGGTTGGACCTCGTGCCCCCTTAGGGTGTGCTTAACCGCTCGAGCCATGTCCTGTCGGACCCAGCCACCGGGCTCTTCCGTCGGGGTTGGTACGCGAGGTTGGACCTCGTGCCCCCTTAGGGTGCGCTCTAGCCGCTCGAACCGAGTCCTTCTGGACTTTGCCACCGGGTTCTTCCGTCGGGGTTTGTACGTGTGGTCGGGCCTCGTGCCCCCTTAGGGTGCGTCCTCCGTCGGGGTTGGTACGCGAGGTTGGACCTCGTGCCCCCTTAGGGTCCGCGGGGGGAAATCGGGTGATCACTCGTTCCCCCTTATTTTACGTCATTTTTTTTTTAGGAAAAAATAAATGAAACCCAAGCTTAGTAACAAAGGTCCTACTCATAACAAGTTTTGTAACAAGGAAAATTATTCCGCTTATTGCCGTCCACTAAGATATTATTGGGGGAGGGGAATGGTCCTCCTCCTAGAATAGTAATGCCTTCTCGGCGATGGTATGGACCTGGAGGTCCTTCTGACCAATTTGGCGGCAAGCCTTCAAGTAGCAACTGCGGCTCACCTTTTGGTCCCCCGGGCGACCCCGACCCCGGTCGGTGTCGAAAACTTGAGGCACAGGTGCTCCATGAAAATCACGCACCTGAGGTCTTCAAGGGCGGGTTGGCCGAGTATGATGTTGTGGGCGCAGCTGATTTTGACGATTACGAACTCGACCTCCCACCTCCGGGTGTGAGGTGGGGTGCCTATCTCCACCTCCAAATTGATCGACCCCTCCGTCTCAATTGAGTCCCCCGTGAACCCGGACAGGGGGGTCCGTACTTGCTCCAGTCGCCCTCTTGAGAGTCCCAACTGGGTGAAAGTGTCGTAGTACATGACGTTCACCGAGCTACCCGTGTCTATGAGCACTCGGTGCACCACCATGTTTTTTATGTCCATCTTGACCACCAGGGCGTCTCGGTGGGGGAGGGGCCCGTCTGGAAGGTCGGCATCGGTGAACGTGATGGGCTCCCTCTTCGATTTCTTCTCGTGGGGCGCTCGTGTGACCTCCCCCATGTACAAGCTTCTTGCCCATTTCTTCCGCTCGGCTGGTGAGTCCCCTCCCTCAGGCCCCCCAAAGATGACGTAGATGGCACGTTTCTTCGGGGGCTTGGAGTCCTCCGTCGTCTCCTCCTCCTCCTCGGAGCTGTGGTCGTGGTCCCTCTTACGAGGTGCCGAGGTGGATGGCACCTGGCCACCCCCCTTCCTCCATACATTGCCTTGCTTCTGGCCTTGCGCCTGGCCGGGTTTCTTAATGAACTGGCCGAGGTAACCCATTTGGATGAGCTCCTCGATTTGTCTCTTTAGGAGGATGCATTCGTCTGTATCGTGTCCCTTCTGACGGTGGAACCTGCAATACTTGTTGGGGTCCCCCCTCGACGATATCTTCATGCATTCCTCCTTTGGGAATACCACGATCCCCTGGTCCTCCGCGTGCACCAAGATGGTACCCACAGGTTGTGTCAACGGGGTGAGATAGCGTGTGGGGTTCAACCCGGGCCCCTCGGCATATTCACGTCGGTGTGGCCGCGGCGCCTTGCGCTCCTCCTGAGGTGCTTTATCTTTCCGACCTCTCCCTTCCTCCTGCTCCTTCTTCCTCTTCTCGCCAGCCTCAGCGTCAGCATACCTGGCTGCCCTGTTCATCAGGTCGGTATAGCTCCTTGGGGGGTACCTGATGAGGTCTTGGTGGAATGCACCCGACCTGATGTTGTTTTTAAAAATCGGCATGGCCGGCCTCCCGTCGAAGTTGGCGACCCCCATGGCCTCCTTCTTCCATTTTCTGAGGTACTCGGCTAATGACTCCGAGCTCCCCTGCTTTAGATCGCACAGGTCGGTAATTTGCTTCTTTCGCTGTATGTTGGTGGCGAAATGGGACAGGAACTGCCGGGTGAGGTCCGCAAAGGTGGAGATGGACCCCCCCCCCCCCCTCCGGGAGGGATCTGAACAAGTCATGCGCCTGCCCGTCCAAGGTGGCGAAGAACCCCCTGTATAGTATGGCGTCTGTCGCCTCGGTGATCATCATGGCGGCCCTGTACCTGGTGAGGTGTGCTCGCGGGTCCGTGGTCCCCGAGTACGCTTTAATGGTGGGAAAGCGGAAATCTTGAGGTAAGGGCTCCTCTATGATGGCGTTTGCGAACGGAGAGGACAACACATCCTGGGGCTCCGGAGACCCGTCCCTCTCGTCGATCTTCTTCTGGAGCTCGTCCATCCTCCTCCGCAGTTGCTCAACCTCTTCTCGATGGGAGCTTGGAGCTCTACCATTCGTTTCACCTCATCGTTCGACCCGGGAGGCCTGTTCGCGCCGAGGTGGGGCTCGGGTCCCCCGACCTGGTGACCTCCGCGAGCCCGCCTCTTGTCGCGGCTGGGCTTGGGATTCGTGGTTTGGCGACCTCCGGGTGACTGATTGTCGTCGTGCTTGCCTGTGGGAGCAGGATTCTGCTGGGGGATGCCCGTTGGCGGCAGGCCTTGGGCCCAACCTCTCTTGGGCTGGCACCCGGCTGCCCAGCCTCTCCATGGCGGGCCTGGTTTGGTTTGACCTCCTTCCGTCGTCCTCCTGACGTCAGTCACGTCGTGAGTCCCCTCCTCCCCGTGTGTCCGTCCGACGGGGCGAATTGACCTCCCCCTGGGTGATGGGTGCCTGGGGTGGCCAAGTCCTTGGACCGCTACGCCCCCAGGTCGGAGGAGGTGGAGGAGGTGCCGACAGCCCTTGGTTGACGCCTGGGTCGGCAGGCATACGCGCTCGGAGGTCCGCCACGACCGGGCCAGCCTTGTGGAGGCTTGCTCGAAGACCGCCATCCCCTCCCGGATGAGGGCTAGGTCCTGAACAGGGGGGGCAGGAGGTGGAGCTCCACCACTGCGGTGGTTGGTGAGGCGATCCCTCATGTCTCCCCCCGACCTGGCAGAGTTGGCCGGATGGAGGCTGGGGACCCCGTTGGGGCCGTTCCCGATTGCGACGAGCTGGTGCTGCGAGTTGGATCTCGATTTTGCCATGGTAGCTAGTCGCGGTAGACCACTGGATATAGAACACGCTTGAGCTGGTACAGCAGCTCTCAACAAGAGCACCAATGATGGATTTAATTAACCCGGGGTGGCCCGAATTATTAAATCCGGATAAGAACGCAGTATGGATAATAAATAAATAAATAAATGATGTCGTAAAGGCCGTGAGACCGTATATTATATTAAATGCCATAGAATTGACTATTACAATAGTATTTTAGGACAAAGTATGCAAGTAGAATAAATCGTGTCTTAATGAGACAAGGTGGGGGGTTTTTATACAACCCCCACCCCTAACCGCCACCCCCTAAGGCAGGGGTGGTTGGATCCGTGTTGACCGAGCCTCCTTGACTGGGTCTAGGTCGGCGGACGACCTCTCCGTGGCCGACCCATCGCGGACGACCTCTCCAAGCCGGGTCGACGGACTGCTGGGCGAAATCTCCAAGGGTCGAGGCCCATGAAACCGACGCCCCGTGGGTCGGGGTTCCGGGTCTTGCTCCGATCGTATTATATCCATCAAGTTATAATACGGAGTATGAAATATTCAAACAAATTATGATTACTAAAAATGCTTCTATTGTTACGGTCTTATCATATGTCACTTTCGTATTTTCATATATGACGTTACATACTTTGTTAAGCTTTTGGAATAGTACAACCTTCTATGTTAAACTTTTGATTAATGGGAGGATGGGATTTTGTGCATGGGATTTTGTGCAATTCTTTCTCCTGCAAATCCAAAAATTTTGTCAGTATTTTTAAAGAAAGAAAAAAAAAAAAAAGAAAAGGTGAGACGCGCGTTTTCGTTGCCAGACACTCTTTCTTTCTATTTTTTATTTTTTATTTTTTAACTTTTGTGGCCACAGCAACGGCCACAATGTTATTATTATTATTTTTTATAGAATTATTTGTATTTAATTTTGTTATTGTTTTTTTTTTAGTTTATATAATATAAATGTAGATATGTAGTATATTATTTTAATTTAATTATTATATTTATTAATAGTTTAATTTTAATTTTATAATTGTCATTTCAATTAAATGTAGATACGTTAATATATTTGTAATTATAAAACTATTTAAATTTTGATAGGTTTAATTTAAATATAATAAAAATAATAATTACAATTATAATTTTTAGAATAATAATAGATAAAGAAATAATTAAAATATGAAGATAAAATGGTGGGTCCATAAAAAGTTGTGAAAAAAAAATTTAAAACTAATGGGAAGAAGAGTTTTTGTAAATGATGAGGATGCCATTATCAAGCTAGCACAGATATTTCAAAAAAAAAAAATAAAAAAATATCAAGCTAGAAAAGAGATCTAAAATCTAGATTGATGGAACTTGTCTCCTACACACAACAGGGAAACCAACAGTGCGTGCTTCTACTGAAATGCAGTTTTATGTCCTGTGTGTTGGGTATAAATATAATCTAATCTTATTAAATAGAACTATTATTTGCACTCGTGCGATGCACGAAATGGATTTGTTGTAATAGAATATATGAATATATGAATCGATATATACTCCGTAATTATTTAAATCAGAACATCAAATATTATATAGTGCAATTAAAGATATGATTTTGATCGTTTATATACTTTGATGTTATCATTGCTTGAATTTGTGCAAATAATTGCTCAAATTAATAGCTAATGTCTTGATGTACGCATGCGGTGCTATAACTTTGAAGATTTTATTTATCATTGTTTAATATTTTCATAAATTAAGCAAATGTGCTCGTTCTCTAACAACTCAGTTATAGAAATGAATTGCTATCCTTATTTATTTGTATGGAAGATATATTTTTTTGTCTAGATATATATCAATTTTTTCATTTAAAAAAAAACTTAATATCACCGATTATATTTACACATTACTGAAAGCTCTTTGTAGACGATAATGGTAGTGGCAACACAATCTTGTCCATCTTTGTCTAGAACTAACACCATCATTCCATCAGGATGAGTTACTTGGGTGAAAATATATAAGGGTAGAATATCACGCAATTAGTTATTATTTTATATTTTCAATCAATTAGTAATATCAGATTTATTTTCAGCCAATTATTCTTTTTATTTTCAGTCAATTAGTCAATTAGAATATCAAATGAAATGATATTTTTACCTAATTTTCGTTCCATTTTTAATTGATGATGTAGATATTATTATTGAAATATTTTAGTTCCATTTTTAATTACTTTTACTATTGTTTAAAATATCCATTTACTCGTGCCAATGTAGAATATTATTATTGAAATATTTTTCTCCAATTTTAATTTTCATTCAATTTTTAATTAAAATGCAATGATTTGACCATTTCTTTTTTTTTATTTTAGTCAATTATGGATCATTTTTTACTTGCAGTCAATTATTAATATTCATTTCCTTTTATATTTTCAGTCAATTAGTAATATTAGATTCATTTTTAGTGCTAAGCACCTTGTGCTTAGATGACACTTGGGTTTGACTTTCATATGAGAGGTTGTGAGTTTGAGCCTCAGTGGAGGTGTTATTGGCTCTTTGTGCTTCAATTGTTGAGAACAGGTACTATATTTTTACCTAATTTCCGTTCCATTTTAATTTGATGATGTAGAATATTATTAATGAAATATTTTCGTTCCATTTTTAATTTACCTTTACTATTTTTGAAAATATGCCTTTACTATTTGATGATGTAAATATTATTATTGAAATATTTCCTTCAACTTCTCAATACTTACTCACACAGATGGACAAGCAATTATATGTTTGTAAGAGGAGCATTGCTTATCTTACCTAGAAGAGCTCTTGAGCTCCTCTTTCCAAACATTTTCAATATGGATGTGGAATCAAAATGATCCAACATCATTTACAAAGGGAGCTCGTGACTTCCTTTTGTCTTCTTCTTTTTAATTTTATTTTGTATATCGTTTTGTTTGGATTATTATTATTATTATTATTATTATTATTATTATTATTATTATTATTATTATTATTATTATTATTGATAAATTCATCAAAATTTTAACAAATTCGTCATTTTAACATTTTAACTTTAATCAAAACACCACAAATATTATATAATAACTTAGTAATTTGCTCCAAACTGCTATAAACTAATACAACATATAGATTTTGGGTTAATCTTTCACAACCCCCACTAAAAATAAATAAATAAATAATAAATAATAAATAATAAATAAGTGTTGTAAAACCTTATGTGGACATTATTCTATGGATGATAGGATTCTAAATACTGTATGAGTCCTAATTTTGTAAGAGTCCTGAAGACTATTATGATAGAGATGTTATATATACCATTGTAATGCTGTACAGAGTTCCTTCCCCGGGATGATAATAAGAATTACTTTTCTCTATTCTTTATTCTTCTTCTTCCTGCTATTATTACTCTTTATTACTGTTCTCCACGAGCTAAAGGCATGCAGACAACCCTGCAATTCAACACGTTATCAGCACACTCAACCCCGGTGAACAGTAAATTTTATGAGTTTTCAATTGTATTTATCTCTTCCTAATTGCTTGTACTGCATGATATTTGTTTTTGGAAAATTTTCACATAGAATATATGCTAAATTGTTTGAATAATAAAATATTCCTAATATTTTTGTAGACTATGGCTGCACTAACCAAGGGTGAATTTACCGAACTGGCCTTAGACGGGAGTAACTATTTAACTTGAGCTCTTGATGTTGAGATTTATCTCGCATCAACTGAGCTACAAGATACTATTATTGCTGATTCCACAAGTAATGCAG